TCCCTGGCCCTCCCTGGCCCTCCCTGACCCTCCCTGGTCCTCCCTGGCCCTCCCTGACCCTCCCTGGTCCTCCCTGACCCTCCCTGGTCCTCCCTGACCCTCCCTGACCCTCCCTGGTCCTCCCTGACCCTCCCTGACCCTCTCTGGTCCTCCCTGACCCTCCCTGGTCCTCCCTGACCTCCCTGGTCCTCCCTGGTCCTCCCTGGTCCTCCTGACCCTCCCTGGTCCTCCCTGGTCCCTCCCTGGTCCTCCCTGACCCTCCCTGGTCCTCCCTGGTCCTCCCTGACCCTCCCTGGTCCTCCCTGGTCCTCCCTGACCCTCCCTGACCCTCCCTGACCCTCCCTGGTCCTCCCTGGTCCTCCCTGACCCTCCCTGGTCCTCCCTGGTCCTCCCTGACCCTCCCTGACCCTCCCTGGTCCTCCCTGGCCCTCCCTGACCCTCCCTGACCCTCCCTGGCCCTCCCTGGTCCTCCCTGACCCTCCTTGGTCCTCCTTGGTCCTCCCTGGTCCTCCCTGGTCCTCCCTGGTCCTCCCTGACCCTCCCTGGTCCTCCCTGACCCTCCAGGTCCTCCCTGACCCTCCCTGGTCCTCCCTGGTCCTCCCTGGTCCTCCCCGGTCCTCCCTGACCATCCCCGGTCCTCCCTGACCCTCCCTTGTCCTCCCTGGTCCTCCCCGAGCCTCACTGACCCTCCCTGGTCCTCCCTGGTCCTCCTTGGTCCTCCCTGGTCCTCCCGAGCCTCACTGACCCTCCCTGGTCCTCCCTGGTCCTCCTTGGTCCTCCCTGGTCCTCCCTGGTCCTCCCTGGTCCTCCCCGAGCCTCACTGACCCTCCCTGGTCCTCCCTGGTCCTCCCTGGTCCTCCCTGGTCCTCCCTGGTCCTCCCCGGTCCTCCCTGGTCCTCCCTGGTCCTCCCTGGTCCTCCCGGTCCTCCCTGGTCCTCCCTGGTCCTCCCTGGTCCTCCCCGGTCCTCCCTGGTCCTCCCCGGTCCTCCCTGACCCTCCCGGTCCTCCCTGGTCCTCCCTGGTCCTCCCTGGTCCTCCCTGGTCCTCCCCGGTCCTCCCTGACCCTCCCCGGTCCTCCCCGGTCCTCCCTGGTCCTCCCTGGTCCTCCCTGGTCCTCCCTGGTCCTCCCCGGTCCTCCCTGACCCTCCCCGGTCCTCCCTGACCCTCCCCGGTCCTCCCTGGTCCTCCCTGGTCCTCCCTGGTCCTCCCCGGTCCTCCCTGACCCTCCCTGGTCCTCCCTGGTCCTCCCTGGTCCTCCCTGGTCCTCCCTGGTCCTCCCCGGTCCTCCCTGACCCTCCCCGGTCCTCCCTGGTCCTCCCTGGTCCTCCCTGGTCCTCCCTGGTCCTCCCCGGTCCTCCCTGGTCCTCCCCGGTCCTCCCTGACCCTCCCCGGTCCTCCCTGGTCCTCCCTGGTCCTCCCTGGTCCTCCCTGACCCTCCCTGACCCTCCCTGGTCCTCCCTGGCCCTCCCTGGTCCTCCCTGACCCTCCCTGACCCTCCCTGGCCCTCCCTGGTCCTCCCTGACCCTCCTTGGTCCTCCTTGGTCCTCCCTGGTCCTCCCTGGTCCTCCCTGGTCCTCCCTGACCCTCCCTGGTCCTCCCTGACCCTCCCAGGTCCTCCCTGACCCTCCCTGGTCCTCCCTGGTCCTCCCTGGTCCTCCCCGGTCCTCCCTGACCATCCCCGGTCCTCCCTGACCCTCCCTTGTCCTCCCTGGTCCTCCCCGAGCCTCACTGACCCTCCCTGGTCCTCCCTGGTCCTCCTTGGTCCTCCCTGGTCCTCCCCGAGCCTCACTGACCCTCCCTGGTCCTCCCTGGTCCTCCTTGGTCCTCCCTGGTCCTCCCTGGTCCTCCCCGAGCCTCACTGACCCTCCCTGGTCCTCCCTGGTCCTCCCTGGTCCTCCCTGGTCCTCCCTGGTCCTCCCTGGTCCTCCCCGGTCCTCCCTGGTCCTCCCTGGTCCTCCCTGGTCCTCCCCGGTCCTCCCTGGTCCTCCCTGGTCCTCCCTGGTCCTCCCTGGTCCTCCCTGGTCCTCCCCGGTCCTCCCTGGTCCTCCCCGGTCCTCCCTGACCCTCCCTGGTCCTCCCTGGTCCTCCCTGGTCCTCCCTGGTCCTCCCTGGTCCTCCCTGGTCCTCCCCGGTCCTCCCTGACCCTCCCCGGTCCTCCCCGGTCCTCCCTGGTCCTCCCTGGTCCTCCCTGGTCCTCCCTGACCCTCCCCGGTCCTCCCTGACCCTCCCCGGTCCTCCCTGGTCCTCCCTGGTCCTCCCAGGACCTCCCCGGTCCTCCCTGACCCTCCCCGGTCCTCCCTGACCCTCCCCGGTCCTCCCTGACCCTCCCCGGTCCTCCCTGACCCTCCCCGGTCCTCCCTGACCCTCCCTGGTCCTCCCTGGTCCTCCCCGGTCCTCCCTGGTCCTCCCTGACCCTCCCCGGTCCTCCCTGGTCCTCCCCGGTCCTCCCTGGTCCTCCCTGGTCCTCCCCGGTCCTCCCTGACCCTCCCTGGTCCTCCCTGGTCCTCCCCGGTCCTCCCCGGTCCTCCCTGACCCTCCCCGGTCCTCCCTGATCGTCCCTGACCCTCCCTGGTCCTCCCTGACCCTCCCTGACCCTCCCTGGTCCTCCCTGACCCTCCCTGGTCCTCCCTGACCCTCCCTGGTCCTCCCTCTCCCTTCCTGGTCCTCCCTCTCCCTTCCTGGTCCTCCCTCTCCCTCCCTGGTCCTCCCTGACCCTCCCTGACCCTCCCTGGTCCTCGCTGACCCTCCCTGGTCCTCCCTGGCCCTCCCTGGTCCTCCCTGGCCCTCCCTGGTCCTCCCCGGTCCTCCCCGACCCTCCCTGGTCCTCCCCGGTCCTGGCTGACCCTCCCTGGTCCTCCCTGGTCCTCCCTGACCCTCCCCGGTCCTCCCTGACCCTCCCTGGTCCTCCCCGGTCCTCCCTGACCCTCCCTGGTCCTCCCCGGTCCTCCCTGACCCTCCCCGGTCCTCCCTGGTCCTCCCCGGTCCTCCCTGACCCTCCCTGGTCCTCCCTGGTCCTCCCTGGTCCTCCCTGACCCTCCCTGGTCTTCCCTGACCCTCCCTGGTCTTCCCTGACCCTCCCCGGTCCTCCCTGACCCTCCCCGGTCCTCCCTGACCCTCCCCGGTCCTCCCTGACCCTCCCTGGTCCTCCCTGGTCCTCCCTGGTCCTCCCTGACCCTCCCTGGTCTTCCCTGACCCTCCCTGGTCTTCCCTGACCCTCCCTGGTCCTCCCTGGTCCTCCCCGGTCCTCCCTGACCCTCCCTGACCTTCCCTGGCCCTCCCTGGTCCTCCCTGACCCTCCCTTGTTCTCCCTGACCCTCCCTGGTCCTCCCTGACCCTCCCTGGTCCTCCCTGACCCTCCCTGGTCCTCCCTGACCCTCCCTGGTCCTCCCTGGTCCTCCCTGGTCCTCCCTGGTCCTCCCTGGTCCTCCCTGGTCCTCCCTGGTCCTCCCCGGTCCTCCCTGACCCTCCCTGGTCCTCCCTGACCATCCCTGACCATCCCTGGTCCTCCCTGGTCCTCCCTGGTCCTCCCTGGTCCTCCCTGACCCTCCCTGGTCCTCCCTGGTCCTCCCTGACCCTTCCCGGCCCTCCCTGGTCCTCCCTGACCCTCCCTGGTCCTCCCTGACCCTCCCTGGTCCTCCCTGACCCTCCCTGGTCCTCCCTGGTCCTCCCTGACCCTCCCTGGTCCTCCCTCTCCCTTCCTGGTCCTCCCTCTCCCTCCCTGGTCCTGCCTGACCCTCCCTGACCCTCCCTGACCCTCCCTGGTCCTCCCTGACCCTCCCTGACCCTCCCCGGTCCTCCCTGACCCTCCCTGGTCCTCCCGGTCCTCCCTGACCCTCCCTGGTCCTCCCTGGTCCTCCCTGACCCTCCCTGGTCTTCCCTGACCCTCCCTGGTCCTCCCTGGTCCTCCCCGGTCCTCCCTGACCCTCCCTGACCTTCCCTGGCCCTCCCTGGTCCTCCCTGACCCTCCCTTGTTCTCCCTGACCCTCCCTGGTCCTCCCTGACCCTCCCTGGTCCTCCCCGGTCCTCCCTGACCCTCCCCGGTCCTCCCTGACCCTCCCTGGTCCTCCCTGACCCTCCCTGGTCCTCCCTGACCCTCCCTGGTCCTCCCTGACCCTCTCTGGTCCTCCCTGACCCTCCCTAGTCCTCCCTGACCCTCCCTAGTCCTCCCTGGTTCTCCCTGGTCCTCTCTGGTCCTCTCTGGTCCTCCCTGACCCTCCCTGGTCCTCCCTGGCCTTCCCTGACCCTCCCTGGCCTTCCCTGACCCTCCCTGGTCCTCCCTGGCCTTCCCTGACCCTCCCTGACCCTCCCTGGTCCTCCCTGGCCTTCCCTGACCCTCCCTGGCCTTCCCTGGTCCTCCCTGGCCTTCCCTGACCCTCCCTGGTCCTCCCTGGCCTTCCCTGACCCTCCCTGACCCTCCCTGGTCCTCCCTGGTCCGCCCTGACCCTCCCTGGTCCTCCCTGGCCTTCCCTGACCCTCCCTGACCCTCCCTGGTCCTCCCTGGTCCTCCCTGACCCTCCCTGGTCCTCCCTGGCCTTCCCTGACCCTCCCTGGTCCTCCCTGGTCCTCCCTGACCCTCCCTGACCCTCCCTGACCCTCCCTGGTCCTCCCTGGCCTTCCCTGACCCTCCCTGGCATTCCCTGACCCTCCCTGGCCTTCCCTGACCCTCCCTGGCCTTCCCTGACCCTCCCTGGTCCTCCCTGGCCTTCCCTGACCCTCCCTGACCCTCCCTGGTCCTCCCTGGCCTTCCCTGACCCTCCCTGACCCTCCCTGGTCCTCCCTGGCCTTCCCTGACCCTCCCTGACCCTCCCTGGTCCTCCCTGGTCCTCCCTGACCCTCCCTGACCCTCCCTGGTCCTCCCTGGTCCTCCCTGACCCTCCCTGACCCTCCCTGGTCCTCCCTGGTCCTCCCTGACCCTCCCTGACCCTCCCTGGTCCTCCCTGGCCTTCCCTGACCCTCCCTGACCCTCCCTGGTCCTCCCTGGCCTTCCTTGACCCTCCCAGGAGAGTGCCAGGGGAGTGCCAGGAGAGTGCCAGGAGAGTGCCAGGGGAGTGCCAGGAGAGTGCCACGGGAGTGCCAGGAGAGTGCCACGGGAGTGCCAGGAGAGTGCCAGGAGAGTGCCAGGAGAGTGCCAGGAGAGTGCCAGGGGAGTGCCAGGGGAGTGCCAGGAGAGTGCCAGGAGAGTGCCAGTGGAGTGCCAGGAGAGTGCCAGGAGAGTGCCAGTGGAGTGCCAGTGGAGTGCCAGGAGAGTGCCAGGAGAGTGCCAGGGGAGTGCCAGGGGAGTGCCAGGAGAGTGCCAGGAGAGTGCCAGGGGAGTGCCAGGAGAGTGCCAGGGGAGTGCCAGGAGAGTGCCAGGAGAGTGCCAGGGGAGTGCCAGGAGAGTGCCAGGAGAGTGATAGTGGAGTGCCAGGAGAGTGCCAGGAGAGTGCCAGGAGAGTGCCGGGAGAGTGCCGGGAGAGTGCCGGGAGAGTGCCGGGAGAGTGCCGGGAGAGTGCCGGGAGAGTGCCAGGAGAGTGCCAGGGGAGTGCCAGGGGAGTGCCAGGAGAGTGCCAGGAGAGTGCCAGGAGAGTGCCAGGAGAGTGCCAGGAGAGTGCCAGGAGAGTGCCAGGGGAGTGCTAGGGGAGTGCCAGGAGTGCCAGGGGAGTGCCAGGAGAGTGCCAGGAGAGTGCCAGGAGAGTGCCAGGAGAGTGCCGGGGGAGTGCCGGGAGAGTGCCGGGAGAGTGCCAGGGGAGTGCCGGGAAAGTGCCGGGAGAGTGCCAGGAGAGTGCCGGGAGAGTGCCAGGGGAGTGCCAGGAGAGTGCCAGGAGAGTGCCAGGGACGCAGTATAGGTGGTGGCCCCCAACAGTTAAGGGGAAGGCAGTTAGAGTGTGACGGGCGCCTGGTTGTTAATGCCATGTGTGACGGCTGGTGATTGGTCAACACGGCCCTGTTGTTGACAGTTAATGACCCCTGGTGTAGGCCTGGGTAATTAGTGCAGGGGGGGGGCCTGGCACTGCTCACCTGCTGTCATGGTGCCACCTGGGATTAATTAGTGCCTCTGGGGCGGCTTTGTTGAGCGGTTATGTCCGGCTTGTGTCACTCTGAGTGGCTTGGTCTGGTTACTGGGAGTTACTGTGTCACTCTCTGTGTGTGAGTGGCGTGGTCTGGTTACTGGGAGTTACTGTGTCACTCTGTGTCTGAGTGGCTTGGTCTGGTTAGTGGGGAGTTACTGTGTCACTCTGTGTCTGTGTGGCTTGGTCTGGTTACTGGGAGTTACTGTGTCACTCTCTGTGTCTGAGTGGCTTGGTCTGGTTACTGGGAGTTACTGTGTCACTCTGTGTCTGAGTGGCTTGGTCTGGTTACTGGGAGTTACTGTGTCACTCTCTGTGTCTGAGTGGCTTGGTCTGGTTACTGGGAGTTACTGTGTCACTCTCTGTGTGTGAGTGGCGTGGTCTGGTTACTGGGAGTTACTGTGTCACTCTGTGTCTGAGTGGCTTGGTCTGGTTACTGGGAGTTACTGTGTCACTCTCTGTGTCTGAGTGGCGTGGTCTGGTTACTGGGAGTTACTGTGTCACTCTCTGTGTCTGAGTGGCGTGGTCTGGTTACTGGGAGTTACTGTGTCACTCTGTGTCTGAGTGGCTTGGTCTGGTTAGTGGGGAGTTACTGTGTCACTCTGTGTCTGTGTGGCTTGGTCTGGTTACTGGGAGTTACTGTGTCACTCTCTGTGTCTGTGTGGCTTGGTCTGGTTACTGGGAGTTACTGTGTCACTCTCTGTGTGGCTTGGTCTGGTTACTGGGAGTTTCTGTGTCACTCTCTGTGTCTGAGTGGCTTGGTCTGGTTACTGGGAGTTACTGTGTCACTCTGTGTCTGAGTGGCTTGGTCTGGTTACTGGGAGTTACTGTGTCACTCTCTGTGTCTGTGTGGCTTGGTCTGGTTACTGGGAGTTACTGTGTCACTCTCTGTGTCTGTGTGGCTTGGTCTGGTTACTGGGAGTTACTGTGTCACTCTGTGTCTGTGTGGCTTGGTCTGGTTACTGGGAGTTACTGTGTCACTCTCTGTGTCTGAGTGGCTTGGTCTGGTTACTGGGAGTTACTGTGTCACTCTGAGTGGCTTGGTCTGGTTACTGGGAGTTACTGTGTCACTCTCTGTGTCTGTGTGGCTTGGTCTGGTTACTGGGAGTTACTGTGTCACTCTCTGTGTCTGTGTGGCTTGGTCTGGTTACTGGGAGTTACTGTGTCACTCTCTGTGTCTGTGTGGCTTGGTCTGGTTACTGGGAGTTACTGTGTCACTCTCTGTGTCTGTGTGGCTTGGTCTGGTTACTGGGAGTTACTGTGTCACTCTGTGTCTGTGTGGCTTGGTCTGGTTACTGGGAGTTACTGTGTCACTCTCTGTGTCTGAGTGGCTTGGTCTGGTTACTGGGAGTTACTGTGTCACTCTGAGTGGCTTGGTCTGGTTACTGGGAGTTACTGTGTCACTCTCTGTGTCTGTGTGGCTTGGTCTGGTTACTGGGAGTTACTGTGTCACTCTCTGTGTCTGTGTGGCTTGGTCTGGTTACTGGGAGTTACTGTGTCACTCTGTGTCTGTGTGGCTTGGTCTGGTTACTGGGAGTTACTGTGTCACTCTCTGTGTCTGAGTGGCTTGGTCTGGTTACTGGGAGTTACTGTGTCACTCTGAGTGGCTTGGTCTGGTTACTGGGAGTTACTGTGTCACTCTCTGTGTCTGTGTGGCTTGGTCTGGTTACTGGGAGTTACTGTGTCACTCTCTGTGTCTGTGTGGCTTGGTCTGGTTACTGGGAGTTACTGTGTCACTCTCTGTGTCTGTGTGGCTTGGTCTGGTTACTGGGAGTTACTGTGTCACTCTCTGTGTCTGTGTGGCTTGGTCTGGTTACTGGGAGTTACTGTGTCACTCTGTGTCTGTGTGGCTTGGTCTGGTTACTGGGAGTTACTGTGTCACTCTCTGTGTCTGAGTGGCTTGGTCTGGTTACTGGGAGTTACTGTGTCACTCTGAGTGGCTTGGTCTGGTTACTGGGAGTTACTGTGTCACTCTCTGTGTCTGTGTGGCTTGGTCTGGTTACTGGGAGTTACTGTGTCACTCTCTGTGTCTGTGTGGCTTGGTCTGGTTACTGGGAGTTACTGTGTCACTCTGTGTCTGTGTGGCTTGGTCTGGTTACTGGGAGTTACTGTGTCACTCTCTGTGTCTGAGTGGCTTGGTCTGGTTACTGGGAGTTACTGTGTCACTCTGAGTGGCTTGGTCTGGTTACTGGGAGTTACTGTGTCACTCTCTGTGTCTGTGTGGCTTGGTCTGGTTACTGGGAGTTACTGTGTCACTCTCTGTGTCTGTGTGGCTTGGTCTGGTTACTGGGAGTTACTGTGTCACTCTCTGTGTCTGTGTGGCTTGGTCTGGTTACTGGGAGTTACTGTGTCACTCTCTGTGTCTGTGTGGCTTGGTCTGGTTACTGGGAGTTACTGTGTCACTCTGTGTCTGTGTGGCTTGGTCTGGTTACTGGGAGTTACTGTGTCACTCTCTGTGTCTGAGTGGCTTGGTCTGGTTACTGGGAGTTACTGTGTCACTCTGAGTGGCTTGGTCTGGTTACTGGGAGTTACTGTGTCACTCTCTGTGTCTGTGTGGCTTGGTCTGGTTACTGGGAGTTACTGTGTCACTCTCTGTGTCTGTGTGGCTTGGTCTGGTTACTGGGAGTTACTGTGTCACTCTGTGTCTGTGTGGCTTGGTCTGGTTACTGGGAGTTACTGTGTCACTCTCTGTGTCTGAGTGGCTTGGTCTGGTTACTGGGAGTTACTGTGTCACTCTCTGTGTCTGTGTGGCTTGGTCTGGTTACTGGGAGTTACTGTGTCACTCTGTGTCTGAGTGGCTTGGTCTGGTTACTGGGAGTTACTGTGTCTGTGTGGCTTGGTCTGGTTACTGGGAGTTACTGTGTCACTCTGTGTCTGAGTGGCTTGGTCTGGTTACTGGGAGTTACTGTGTCACTCTCTGTGTCTGTGTGGCTTGGTCTGGTTACTGGGAGTTACTGTGTCACTCTGTGTCTGAGTGGCTTGGTCTGGTTACTGGGAGTTACTGTGTCACTCTCTGTGTCTGTGTGGCTTGGTCTGGTTACTGGGAGTTACTGTGTCACTCACTGTGTCTGTGTGGCTTGGTCTGGTTACTGGGAGTTACTGTGTCACTCACTGTGTCTGTGTGGCTTGGTCTGGTTACTGGGAGTTACTGTGTCACTCACTGTGTCTGTGTGGCTTGGTCTGGTTACTGGGAGTTACTGTGTCACTCACTGTGTCTGTGTGGCTTGGTCTGGTTACTGGGGAGTAACTGTGTCACTCTGTCTGAGTGGCTTGGTCTGGTTACTGATGAGTTACTGTGTCACTCACTGTGTCTGTGTGGCTTGGTCTGGTTACTGGGAGTTACTGTGTCACTGTGTGGCTTGGTCTGGTTACTGGGAGTTACTGTGTCACTCACTGTGTCTGTGTGGCTTGGTCTGGTTACTGGGGAGTAACTGTGTCACTCTGTCTGAGTGGCTTGGTCTGGTTACTGATGAGTTACTGTGTCACTCTCTGTTGTGTTTTTTAGGTGGGGGGGGGTTCCATGGTGGGGCTGCATATTCTATGACTGGTCTCACGTACGTGGTATATTGCGATCCAAATGCCTCCTTAAATAGATTCCTGAATGATCTAATTTTTGCAAGCGTAGATTATGATGCTGTCGTTATTCTATTTGATGAAATAAAACTGTTTTATTTTTGTGTTTATATATAAACTCCAGAGTTTATATAACACCAAACCCAAAAATAGTTTCCCGTCAATGTGTACTGTCTCTTTGATCTCCTGTCACCTAGTCCCATCTCCATGACATTACACTTGCTGGTATTAAACTCTAGAAGCCATTTCTCTGATCATCTCTACAACCTGTCCAAGTTACCTCACATAACCTTACACTCCTCATCTGTCACAACTCGTCTCGTTAATTGAACATTATGTGCGAACATGGACATGACAGACTGCTGTTGATGGGTCATTAACATAGATGATAAACAGTATGGGTCCCAACACCGACCCTTGAGGCACTCCACTTATGACAGTCTTACTTCTCTCTCCTTCCTGTTACTCTCTGGCTCCTGTCTGGTAGGTCTCCTTCCTGTTACTCTCTGGCTCCTGTCTGGTAGGTCTCCTTCCTGTTACTCTCTGGCTCCTGTCTGGTAGGTCTCCTTCCTGTTACTCTCTGGCTCCTGTCTGGTAGGTAGTGCTTTACTCCTGTTAAGGGCTCTTAACAGCTTACTCCTGCCTGTGTGTGTGTACTCGCCTAGTTGTGCTTGCGGGGGTTGAGCTCTTGCTCTTTGGTCCCGCCTCTCAACTGTCAATCAACAGGTGTACAGGTTCCTGAGCCTATTGGGCTCTGTCATATCTACACTTGAAACGGTGTATGGAGTCAGCCTCCACCACATCACTGCCTAATGCATTCCATTTGTCAACCACTCTGACACTAAAAAAGTTCTTTCTAATATCTCTGTGGCTCATTTGGGCGCTCAGTTTCCACCTGTGTCCCCTAGTCCGTGTTCCCCTTGTGTTAAATAGCCTGTCTTTATCAACCCTATCAATTCCTCTGAGAATCTTGTACGTGGTGATCATGTCCCCCCTAACTCTTCTGTCTTCCAGCGAAGTGAGGTTTAATTCCTGTAGTCTCTCCTCGTTGCTCTTACCCCTCAGTTCGGGTACTAGTCTGGTGGCAAACCTTTGAACTTTTTCCAGTTTAGTCTTATGCTTGACTAGATATGGACTCCATGCTGGAGCCGCATACTCCAGGATTGGTCTGACATATGTGGTATATAATGTTCTGAAAG